ATGTCGGGGCGGGGGGTGCGCGGAAGCATCCGCTCCCGGCCGGGGCCGCTCCGCCGCCCTGGAGCATGGCCGGAGGGGCAGATGCGTTGCTGCCGCGGGGAGCGGTCTGGCGTCTGCCACCGCCCGCGAGTAACAGTCCCACGCTTGACAAGCGCTGTGGAAGGAGCTGGGCTGAAGCTGTCCCAGCGTCCTGGTGGCTACAGCGCAGGGAGATAGGCGGTGTGTTTCCTTGCTGGCTGGGGCAAGTCCGCGTTTTAGAAATACGTTGTCGGGAATTTTGTGTGTTCTGGCAAGAAGCTGCCATTACATTAGTTTTCCAAACACTGACACTTTCATCTTGCTATAAGAAAAATACATATATCCTGCTTGTCACAAGAACTTTGATGTAGCTGCATTAAAGTTTCCTTCAGATAGTCTAGGATAACTTGCGTTGTCCTTCATGTCCCTCTGCCAGAGGTTATCAGCACCACAGATTTCATAATATGGCACCGGAAGGCTGAGGAACTAATGCCTATGGATGGTTTTTTTCAGTCGTGGTGGGAAGGCATGGAATATGCTTTAGAGGATAATTTCTTAAGTTGCTGAGTGTGAATTCCCAGCACACACCTGGAAGTAATATAAGTACCGTTGCTTAAGAGGTCACATTTCTCTCCCAGCTATGGGTGGTGACCTCCTCGGTCGATCTGACCAAAAGGAGTGTATGCTTGTGTTGGGCCTCAGCCACTTTATAACTTAAATTCCACTTTCACTGTCAGATCGAGGGAAGATGTTGGCCATCTGTCAGGTACTAATCCACGCTGGAATGCAGGCAGCAGCAGTTACTTTACTGTTGAGATCTGACATCACAAAACTGATACTTTGTTCTCAGAAGTATATATTCAGAGTAGAGCAACACATGGCTGTTGCTAGCATTGCAGCCCAAAGATAGCCAGAGGGTTTTCAGCTGTGTCAAAAGTATTTTTACAGTCTGGAGGCTATTACTCATGGCAGTACATGATCCATGATTTTGCAAATGCACTTAACAAAGACAACTTGAATTGGAAATCTCTTGCTAAAAAGCATCTAGCTGTACAATACCATGCTTCATCATTCCTGCAACTATAATGCTGCATGTCTAATGTGCATTATCTTTGGGACCTAGGCCTGTCTGCTCCTATACAAACTGTAAACTGTCAACTTTCCCTCCATAAATAGCATGTCTGATTTTCCTCACAGACCTACAGCCAAGGGATTGAATTAGCCTGCCAAAAAGAAAGAGAGTTTGTGAAACACTCTGTAGAATGCACATGGAACCTAGCAGAAGCCCAGCACAAACTTGGTAGCATAGCACTGCATAATTCAGAGTCCTGTGATCAGGAATTTGCTCGAGCAAAGACTGAAGCTGCAGAGTTGAGATGGAGAGAGGAAGAGTGGAGAAGAAAAGAAGAAGCACTAAACCAGAGGGAAAGACAGAATCTATGGAACACAGATTCTGTTAGTAAGGAGGTTTTTAATAAGGTATGGCCTGTATCAGTGTGCATGAAAATGAGTGTTAGCCTCTTTTTTTTTCACTCCACCTGTTAATAGTCTTGAGTGTTTTCTGTGTCCAGTACAGCACAAAGCCACAGTATGTGTTAAATGAGGGTTTTTTTTCTTTATTTTGACTCATGAAAGGGAGCAAGGTGCACTTGTACTACAAATCTGGATGATATTTCTCTACCAGAAGTGCAGATCAGAACTTGCGTGGGTCATCTAGGTACTAGATACAAGCCGGCAACATGCGCTCACAGCCCAGAAAGCCAATGGCATCCTGGGCTGTGTCAAAAGATGTGTGGCCAGTAGGTTGAGGGAGGTGATTCTGCCCCTCTACTGTGCTCTGGTGAGACCCCACGTGGAGTACTGTGTCCAGGTCGGGGGCTCCCAGTACAAGAAAGACACAGACCTGTTAAAGTAGGTCCAGAGGAGGGCCATGAAAATGGTTGGAGAGGTGGAGCACCTCTCCTATGAAGAAAGGCTGACAGAGTTAGTGTTGTTCAGCCTGGAGAAGAGAAGGTGTTGGGGGGCCTGTATTGATCTTACTGTGACTTTTCAACACTTAAAGGCGGCTTACAAGAAAAATTGAGAGTTTTATTTATCATGGCCTGTAGTGATAGAACAAGGGGCAATGGTTTTAAACTGGAAGAGGGTAGATTTAGATGGGATATAAGGAAGACATTTTTTACAATGGGGGTGGTGAGGCACTGGAACAGGTTGCCCAGAGAAGCTGTGGCTGCCCCCTCCCTGTCAGTGTTCAAGGCCAGGCTGGATGGGGCTTTGGGCAACCTGGTCTAGTGGAAGGTGTCCCTGCCATGGCAGCGGGGTTGGAACTGGATGATCACTGTGCCACATTCTTAAAATGTGAAGCTGTTAGTTTGCCACTAATAGTGACTACTGTAATGCAGCTTATTTAGCACAAACTTTTTTTTATAGTAGAATCTCAGCTTTGATTTCACAATTTAATTTGACCAGCTAGTGCATTTCCTAATTTCACCGATTTAGCTGCATCCAGGCTGCAATGTACATGATTCTTATTGTTGACAGATCAGTAAGTTCCTACCTGGGGAAGTTTCTCAGAGATCTTCAGTCAGTAGACTATAACAAGACTTTTAAGCTCTCTTATTAGGTAATGCATTTTTAAAAGAAAACCTTCTCAAGTATATGACATGACCCTAAAATTAGAACATAGCCCTTTAAATAGTAACATATTAAAATATAATGCTCCTGTATATCACAAAAAGGCATGTCTGGAGTTTCTGTGACAGTACAATTTTTCTCTTCCTCAGAGTTTTATTAATCAAAAAAGAAAAGAAATAGAAGATGAAGATGTGTCTGAACCACTTATGCAAAAACATGAACAAAAGATTAGACACTTTGGTGAGTGTGCTTTTCCCAACATTTTGCAGTTCAAACTAATACAGAATTTGTGCAGGTTTGCTCCTTATTGTACAGAAAGAATGCCAACAAATGAAAGACCCGGCTAACAGGCTGTTCAGCTTTATTTTATCAGGACAGATAATTTCAAAGCAAATTAAGGTGCAAACTGTAGAAGCTTGTTAGTTCCTGTGACCAATAAGAACTTAAATTTAAAAAATTAAAACAAGTTAATACTTAAACAAGCTGAAGCCCTGAAAACTGAAGTTCTGGCAACTTTTTCTGCTGTTCAGTGGGAAAAGGCAGGGACATTCATGGAAATATAAGTCTTGTGTATAAAAGCGCATGGGATTGTCCATAGGTGACTCCTTTTACTAAATGTTTTTCTGGTGGCTATTAAGCTACAAGGGCAATGACTGGTTAAAGGGAAATGTCTGTAAATGCCCAGTGACAGTATGTGTGCATGGAGTTGTGTGCTGCTTCAAATTATATTTAATTATCCACTAGGTGTCACTTTAGCTCTGTCACAAGTGTTGAACCCAATTAAGCACAAAGCTGATCTTGTAAAGTAATCTGAAGTTTTGATGGTTCTCTGAAATGCTTTCCATTCTTAGTTACGGGCTGGTTTCAGACTGTGGTATAGTATAGCCATACTTGGAATTCCAGAACAATGAAGAACATGGCCAGAGTTGGCAAAATTCAATTCTTTGTACAGACTTGTTTTTACTAAGCTATTTGGCTTCTAAGGATCTTAATCTGTTTTGAAGAAAGGGCTTCTAGCCCTGTTAGCCTTAGCAAGCCTTGCAAATACCAAGTTGAGGCACAACATGCTCAGAGTACGCAAACAGCAGTGATAGGCACAGGTTAAGTCAGATACCTTTACTGCTAAGTGTAATGATAATGGAATCAGAAGATGTCTCTCTTGCTGTGCATTTCAGAAAAAAAAAAAAGGCTTTCTCACAAGCTTCCTAGCTAAGAGTTGGGCAAAATTCCTTTTTTGTCTGAATTCAGATTAAGCTATTACAGAAGCGATCTTACTACAGAAGGTCATACTTTTTTTCTTGCTTCCTAAATTCAAGGCCATGTTAATTAACAAAATACTAATTCCATTTGTCTTGGTTTTGGCTGGGATAGAGTTAATTTTTTTTCCTAGTAGCTGGCACAGTGCTGTGTTTTGGATTTAGGGCGAGAATAATGCTGATAACACAGTGATGTTTTAGTTGTTGCTGAGTAGTGCTTATCCTAAATTGAGGATTTTTCAGTCTCCCATGCTCTGCCAGTGGGCAGGTGCACAAGGAGCTGTGAGGGAGCAAAGCCAGGACAGCTGACCCGAATTGGCCAAAGGGATATTCCATACCACAGAATGTCATGCTCAGTATATAAACAGCGGGGGAGTTGGCCAGGAGGGGTGGATTGCTGCTTGGGCATTGGTCAGTGGGTGCCAAGTAATTGCATTGTGCATCATTTGCCTTTTTTTGGGGTTTATTTCTCTCTCTTTTTTTTTTTTGTTACATTCCTTTGATGAAAAGTTCTGATGAACTGATGGTTCCTGATTAAAAGGTCATTACTATTATTTTGTTGTTATTATTATACTTTAATTATTAAACCATTCTTATCTCAACCCAAGAGTTTTACTTCTTTTTTTGGATTCTCCTCCCCATCCCACTGGGAGGGGGAGTAGTGAGTGAGCAGCTGCATGGTGCTTAGTTGCTGGCTGGGGTTAGACCACAACACCATTGTAAAAAGGGACAGTTCATTAATGCTCTTTCAAGTCTATTGTTCTGTGCTGGCTGCTGCCAAGGGGCAGTGTGGACTTTGCTAGCCATGGAGCACGAGTCCTGTTTCTGGATACTGCTCTGGCTTCCAAGCAATAAAGAACTTAGGCAGAATAGTTCTCTTGAAAACAGCCAGGAGAAATATTAGTCATTGCTTTCTCTTCAGGCATTTGTTTGCTAAAATTAAGATTAGCTTAGGTTGTTACCACTGAATTATCTTTAGCCCAGTTATAATTATACACTGATAGACGGGTAAAGCTGTACATCTGGTACCTGTTGCCAGTAATGACTTGACTAACGGTGATACATGAAGGATGATTTTAACAAGTGTTCTGAGTATTGAGTTCTGATTCAATCTTCTAACTAACTTTCCAGTATCAATGTGGCTTTGCTTTTTGAGATCAAGCTGATCCTGTAATTAAATTAAAATTTCCTAAAAACCTAGCAAATAATGTTAGAAGCACTTTCATTTTTGACCGATTACACATTCTTTTCTTTGCGTTCTTATTTGTGAACATTTAGGGGATTTCTGTTTTCCATTATCACTGACTGTAAATCTCGATCCATGAACTTTTTAAACTATTTGATGATGTAACTTATAGATACCTAACACCACTTTTTTAGTCTCTATGAGAACTGATTAAAAATAACTTATCAACAATGCTAGAGATGCATTAAAATATCGGAAATTGTGACTGTTAAAATCTATTTTTAGTATCTTCAAAGTCTGATTATACCTTCTGGTAATGCTCTTTCAGCATTGGTTAAATGTATAAATAAAGCCCTCAAATTTAGCTGCATGCTGTCATTCTGAGGTTAGGGAATTGCAAAGGTGTTACATATACTGGGGTATCAACGCACATAACTTCCTAGCTGTACTAAATCATTTATCCATTTAGAATATCTTAACTGTGTTTCTCTTATTAGGTATGCTGAGCAGATGGGATGATAGTCAAAGATTTTTGTCTGATCACCCATATCTTGTATGTGAAGAAACATCTAAATATCTCATGTTGTGGTGTTTCCATCTAGAAGCTGAACAGGTATGAAGAAGATGTTTAAATTGGTCGAAAGCATACAGTTTCCCACTGCACTACAGAAAAGCTGAGCAACTTGGTTAGCTGTTATAACTGTTCTTGCCACCCTCTCTTTACTTTATTGAAGAAACATTATAGTTCATTGTCACATATATGTCTAGTTATACCTAATTGTCAGTCCCCTTGCTTCTGTGAGCATCAGCTGTCATCTGTTGAGGAATTAGAACAAAAGGAAATTATGCTGCATTGTAGAAATATAATCACAGAAAATATCTTTAAATCATAACTTTAACTTTTTTTTCAGAAAAGAGCTCTGATGGAGCAAGTAGCACATCAAGCAGTTGTAATGCAGTTTATTATAGAAATTGCCAGAAGCTGCAATGCGGATCCAAGAGGCTGTTTTCGTCTCTTTTTCCAAAAAGCCAAAGTAAGTCGACTTGGGTAGTGATGGGAGAAACTCTTGATGCTTACAAGGGACCAGTGTTTAGCAGTTTTTGTCCTAACCATAAGAGGCTGAACATTTTATTGACTAACTTAGTCTTATGGGAAGGTGTTTCGTTAGCCATTCTTTTCTAGACAGAATATTTTGGTGCCGTTCCAATTCTGAAAATTTTAGTGGATTTTGCTTATCCCAGAGGGAAGACAGGATACAGTAGAGGGACAACAGGGGTGTTATAGACAAGTAATAACTAAGTAACAAAAGCAAACATAGACCAGTTTAAGGACTGATGTTGGCTAATTACATCTGTGTTTTCACAGGGTATCTATGTATTGTCATAACTTCTCATTTCATCTGCAGTTCACAGTGGGGACTAAAGTAGTGTCTCTTTCTCATTACTGAAAGAGAGCAATCCACAGCTATGCAGGAGAAATGCGGGAAGACTGAAACTGTGGATTGCTGTAGAGTATGTTCAGTTATTCAAGACTGATAGATCTCAATATTGCCTAAAGGAGTTCACTAAAGTGCAAGTCAACTTGTGCTTTACTTTTGACCGGAGTGCTACAACACTAAAATTAACCAAAACTTTGAGGAAGACTCCTGTGAAACACTTTATTTTAATTTTATACACTGCTTAAGCACTTGTTCTTGTAAGGGTACTGGCTTCTGAGTTGGAATAAAGGAAAGACTAAAATGAGATTTATTGGTACATGTCCTTAAATAAATCAATTACTTTGCTTCTACATATCAATACTACAGAAGGTCTTAAAAAGAAATCTACCTGAAATTTCATTTTAAATTGACTAAGGTTATTCTTCAGTTGTTCAGTTTTTATTCCCCAAAGAGTATAACATGCATTACTGTTGTGGTTTTTTTCAGCACTCTATATGCTTACAACTCAAAAGTAAATCTGGCTGAAGTGCAAATATTTCTTTTTCTCTTTGCAGACAGGAGAAGGCTATTTTGAGGCTTTTAAAAACGAACTTGAGGCATTCAAGATGAGAGTGAGAATTTGGTCACAATCACATGGCTTTCAGACTGTGTTACTACATGATCTGAGTGTCAATCCTGGTCTTGTAGGAGAGCTGACGTGTTCTCCACAGGTAGGTTTATTCTTTCTAGAAATCAGTTTAACTGAAGTAGGATTAGGTCCTGCCTTGAGAACCTGTACCTTTCTGAAATATAAAGAGGATTATTCCTAGAACTGCTAGTGCTCAGAATATAATGTGCAGTATTATCAATATACAAGGCATATATGGGCTTTCTTTTCACTTGCTGGAATTCAGAAAGCATCAACATAAGGTCAAAAGCATATGTTAGTTCACTGCCCTAATGTTTTCATGTTTAAAATAAACATTGCATCATAAAACTGATCAGGTGCTAGAATTGTATTCAGTCTTTACCACAAGCAGTGAAATGAGCTGTCAGTGTAAAATGACTAATCCTATTTGTGGGATCATTCAGGTAAGTCAAGCCTAAGGAAAGTCTCTTGCTGTGAGATCTGGAAACCAAGGGTCCTTAGGTCTTTTATTACAGTACTAGTGATGGCCACATTCTGGAATGAAGAAGCAATTTAAAAGATTGTCAAAAAGTAGGTATTAGGGAAGGAGTCACAGTTGAAACTACTTAATTGAAGTAATTTGATTAAAGTACCTCTCAAGATCCAACAGCTTTTACGTAAATGTGTGGTCAGCTGCTAGAAATACTGAGACCAAATACAAGCTATGCCAGCAAATTTAAAAGAATTCTTGACAGTGAGATAATATTGGTTGATTAATTTTTCAGAGCTTATTTCCTTAGTATTGCAAATTTGTCTTATCTTAAGATGCACAGCATGAATAGTCCAGCTTAAGAGTCCAACTCTTCCCCCCCACCCCCCCCAATATATATATACAGTTATGGAGAACGAAGCTGTCAATCCCCAGCCCCCCATATATAAAGTTATGGAGAATTATGGAGAATTAAGCTGTCAATTTTTCATCTGTTGCAGAACACAGGTGATCTACAAGGTTCGATAAACACAGATGCCTGCAGTTTAAGTTCTATGATACAAAGAGATGAAGAAGAATCCAAAATGATGGACACAGTATAGTATTCTTGAGACTGAGGCTCAAGTATTCTTTTTTTCTGTTTTTCTTTTTTTTTTCTCAAAGAAACAAACATGGCTATTTTCTTGACAGTTATTTTTCTGGGTACTGCACTTTATTTTTGATGTCAAACTTTTGTTGTTGTGTTTGGTTTTTAGTGGGGGGAAGGGATTTTGAAGGGTGGATAATTCAGAAAAACTTGTAATATTGTTTGAAAATGTGCTGCTAGATTTTTGGTTGTCTTTGAAGAGCAGGGTTCTCATTGCCGAATGTGAAACTGGATGTGTTTTCTGCTACTAACCTTGCCTTTCATGACTTTAGAAATTAAAGTATGAAAAAAAAAAAAAAGCTGCACAAATACAATGTTTACAAGAAGTGGTAGATTCTTGGTAGAATCTGCTATTGTCTTACTACAGATGTGGAGAAGTTTTACTCTATGAATATTAGAGATGACAACTATATTCATGCTACCTTGCTGACATTAGCTCTCAAATTTGATTATCACTAATAGCAATAAATCAATATCTGGTATCAGTATTTCAGATCTGAATGGATTAGATAAAAACACTGGCTTTCTACCTCTTCTAAGGGGATTTAAATGTTACGTTGTGCTTTCATTAAATATGACTTGGTTTTGTCCTAAAATGTAAGCAGTGTTTGAATGCATACAAGTGCTGGTTGTATGATTTCTGAGAGTCTGATTCTTCTTGTTTCTAAGGCTACCTTCATATTTTTTTAAAGCAAGTCTTATTATGGGGAGCTTTCTGAAGCACACCAAGCTGTGTGGTGCAGTCAACACGCCGGAGGAAAGAGATGCCATCGAGAGGGACCTGGACAGGCTGGAGAGGTGGGCCCATGCCAACCTCATGAAGTTCAACAAGGCCACGTGCGAGGTCCTGCACCTGGGTCAGGGCAATCCCAAGCACAGATACAGGCTGGGGGATGAGTAGATAGAGAGCAGCCCTGCAGGGAAGGACTTGGGGGTGCAGGTGGATGAAAAATGGAATATGAGCCAAGAAATGTGCGCTCACAACCCAGAAAGCCAGTCAGACCCTGGGCTGCAAAACAAGAACCATAGCCAGCAGGTCCAGGGAGCTGATTCTCCTCTTCTGCTCTGCTCAGACCCCACCTGCAGTGCTGTGTTCGGCTCTGGGGCCCCCAGCATAAGAAAAACATGGACCTGCTCAAGCAGGTCCAGAGGAGGGCCACAAAGATGATCAG